GCGTTTAATCCAGTTTTCGAGCTCAATCTGCTTTTCAGCAACAAATTGATCGGGTTGGTGTCCTGCGATTAACGCATGGCATTCATCAAGTTTCTCCCAAGTCACCATGTCTTTTGTGAAATCTATGTTACCGGTCATACCAGCAACATTGTCTGGAGCTGTAAATTCAACATTGAAGCATCCTTTGTACTTCCCAGTTGCTTTTCCAGCGCGACTGATTACTAGACCTTCGTATGACTTCTCTGGGTCACATCTGGGTACGAACTTCACGAAATCACGCACTTTCGGATAGTCTTCTCTTTCTTGCGTCTGAAACTGCTTCTTCATACCGTTTTGAGCGTGATTATTTACTTGTTCAACGCTTTCCTCTGGTGGAATCCGGTCTTCAGCGACATTATATTCTTCTTCATCACTCTCCACTGCAGTTGATGGGCAAGTTCTGGTGTCTACTTTGGTACTTTCTGAACCAATGACTAACGGAATTTCTGTTCTGTTCTCGGGATGCGCCGCTGTGGTCAGCGTTTCTATACTGTCCGACTGACACTTCCGGACGCGAGTTGGATGGACACTGATCAACTGACCGCCATGTTTCACAACAATCTCGGATCCTAGCCGGTTCACAACTGTGGCTGGGCCTCTCCATTGGTTTTCAGATCTTTTGTAAAACACTTGATCAGACGGTTGGACTTCTTCGCTGCTACGAACATTTGTTCTCAATGCTCTTTTGATACGGTTAGAGGACTCGCACTCTATGTAGGCTTGTCGAGATTTGTGGAGCAGGTTCAGATGTTCACGTGCGTACTCTGAGGTCGTCACGCATTCTAGAGCTGGATCTCTATCCTCAATTACATTCGGCAAGTTTGGGGAGGACCCGAAAACCAGCTGAAAAGGAGTGAAACCTGACGCGTTAGACAGACAATTCTTGGCATGTACGGCAAACTGGAGACATAAATTATCGTCTGTGCTCTCACCAGATGACCTTGTTTTCCAGAAAGCTTCAGTAACAATCGCATTATGCCTCTCAACAACCCCGTTAGACCAAGGGCTGTACGATGCACTCGAAATAACCCTGATGTTATAGCACTCAGTCATAGACAGAAACCTCTCGTTGTTGAATTCACCTCCTCGATCACTCATAAATGTTCCTGGTGGTCCAAATACAAGGCACCAATTTCTCAAAACCGCACTTATGATGGTCTCAGGAAGTTTGTTGTGGATTATACAGGCAACGCTGAAACGCGTAAAAAGATCTATAAGATGCAAATAATGCGTATTAGGCCCGAGCTCGCTCAATTTGTGCAAATCCATAGAAACCACCTGGTTGAACTTCACTGCAAGAGGCAAGGAAACCGAAGGTTTTGGTTTAGCACGGCCAAACTTCTTGCAAGTTTCGCATTCATCAACTACACTTTCCACATCAGACTGCAAAGTTGCGCTTTTGTAGCCACTCTGCTTGAGTAGTTGCTCGAGCCGTTTTGCGGAGCAATGTCCAAACTGGCGGTGCATTTTCTTAAAATCTGACTGCGCAAACACTGCCAAACAAACATCTTCATAACCAGGATGAATGTTCAGAAGAAGATGGCCGGTTGACGTCCTCTTGAGGTCTAGTTTTTCGTCAGATTCTTGTATAGCAACAAACTTGCCATCAAAATTGAGCACGAACTTGGCAGATTCCATCGATTTGACACTCAGCAGTAAAGGCAACTCACCGTCAATGACATCACAACTCACAAAACAAGAAAGTGAGCCAAATTTAGCTGGCAAAAAGGCTTTGTATTTAGCGTTTTGACATGCTCCATCTCCAAAAACAATGCGACAACCAGTCTTGTTGTACACAACAGTGTCTGATTGCGTCTTCGAAAGTTTAGATACGTACTGTTTGACCCACTGATCTCCCGCGACTGTTGTTGTACAGCCGGAGTCCAGAATTGCTGACTCATAGCATTCTCTCAGCAACTTCCCGCAGTTACTTGCAAACGTGAGGTATACTTGCGTGTCTGTACCTGAGTCGCAGCTTGAAGGAACGGTACTGGAGGCTATTGCGGGCATTGAAGCAACACTCTTTCCGGAATCTCTGTCCGGGCAGTTTCTGAACCAGTGATTTCTGGAACCACACTCTGTGCAGGTGGTAACTCTACCTTCTTTGTCAACAGGATTTCTACCTTTTTTCTGTACGCCTCTCAAAAAACTGTAACTGGCCTGTCCTCGACCTCGAAAACGACCGCGTCTCTGAAACCGATCAGATATCAACGCAGATTCTTCGTTTAGTTCCTCGTTCGCCACGAAAGCTGGTTCGTCTTTTAGCTGCACTCCCGAGGTGGAGGAGGAACTTCCTGAGAAAATTCGTCGCAGTGACTTTTTCATAGTGTCAAAATTCAGCTCATTCGACGCGGAGAGAACCAGTTGGCGTTCATTGGAGGTTAAATTACAGGAATGGAGCAACTTGCACGCTAAAATAGAATCTGGTAATTCCATTTTGAACCGCTTCATTTTAGTGTATGCTCTCTCAAAGTCAGCGATATGCTCAATAACGCTAGCCGAGGACCTTGAGATAGATTCAAAAGCAGTGTACATCTCGTAAGATTGGTCAACTGTTTCTTTGCCAAATATACTGTCCAGTTTTTCCAATAAATCTTTCAAACCGTTCTCACTCTCTAAGGATTCACCGCCCACTTCCATAGCAACTTCGCGACGTCGGCCACTGAGGGATAGTGCCACAGCCAAACCCAACTTCTTTGCAGGTAGATCTGTTAGACGCTTCCAAATGTCAACCTCGTTTTTCCAAGCGTCATAAGGCATCTGTTTCCCATGTCGGCGGGGTTTTGACGAAAGAGCTCATTTTCTCCTGCTACCATGAGAAAAAGTTGGATAAAAACAGTCGTTAATTACAAAACCCCGCGACACATGACAATCTTAAACACATGACAATTAAGCACATTACAATACATTAACACTAGAGCTGTATCGTATATTACTGTGCTTAAGAAACATTTCAGCGCAAGGCCGGGAAGTGCAAGTCAAGGCATGGCCAGGAGCGGCAAGGTAGGGCAGGGCGAGGAGTGGCCAGGCTAAGTAGACTAGCGGAGCAGCGCAGAGCCGGGCTAGGAAGGGCAATTCAGGGTAGGGAAAGCTAGACAAGGCATGACGAGGGGCGGGGCAAGGCAGGGTGAAGAGTGGAAAAGCTGGGCAGACAGAAGAGGGGCAAGGCAGGGTAGGGCAGCGCAGAGCCGGTCGAGGAGTGGCAACGCCTGGTCGAGGCAGTACTTAGCGAAGAAGGGTAATGCAGGGTAGGGAGTGCAAGGCTGGGCAGGTCGAAGAGGGGCAGAGTAGAGCAGGGCAGGTCGAGGAGGCAAGGCAAGGTGAAGAGTGGCAAAGTATAGTAGGGCAGCATAGGGCGAGGAGGGGCAACGCCAGGCGAAGAGTGCAAGGCAAGGTAAGAACACGCAAAGCAAAAGTGAACAGGACGAGAAATGGCTAGGCAGCGTAGGGAAGCGCTCAGTAAGGAGGGTCAAGCAGGGTAGGGCAGCACAGAGCGAGGAGTGGCAAGGTAGGATAGAGAAGCGCAAGGCGGCACAAGACTAGGCGAGAAGGGGCTAGCAGGGCAGCGACAGGAAGGGCAGGGTGTTGTAGCTGTATCCATCTATCTGCGCACCTCTCAATTTATCAAGTTATCTATCCCGCAAACCATCTATTCGTTCTTCCAACTATCTATCCAATCATCCATCAATATATTTATCTATCCATCCATCTAGCAATCTATCCAACCAATTATCCAGCCAGCCATCTACACAACCATCATTCGTCCGTTTTTTCATCAATCCATTCATCTATCTGATCATCCATCTTCTATTCATAAAACAAACCAGCAATAGATTAGGCCATTCAACCAACCATCCATCTTTCAAAGAATCTCTCCGCTGTTTCCAGTTGACCATCCTGCAATCAAACTATTTGTCTATCCAGCCGTTTTTTCAATCATCAAACCATCATCTCTTCATCAGCTCTTCAAACCGTCATTTCATCCGTTCATAACCAATCCAACAAGCCATCCATTCTCACACTCACCTTTTAATCCAGCCATCTGTCCATCCAAGCCATCTATCTATCTAACCATACATCATCCTTCCAACCAGCCATCCAGTCAGCCTGCTTCCCATCTATCTCTCAGCCATCCCTCTTTCCAGCCAGCCATGCTTCCATTCATCCTTCCATTGATTAACCATCCATATATCAAGACATTATCATCTATACATGCAACCAGCCATCGGTCCATCCATTCAAATATCCATCGATCCAATCCGCCATACATCCGTCCCTCCAGCAATCCATCCATCCAGCCATCCATCGATCGAGCCATCAATTCAGTCCATCCAACCAGCATATCCACTCATCTTTGCGTCCAGCCATCCATTATTCTATCCAGCCTTCGATACAGCCATCACTCCATCTAGCCAACGAACGTCCACTTATCCAGCCAGCCATCCATCCACCCAAATACCAACCAACTTTCCGTGCATCCATCCTGCCAGCCCTCCTTTCATCGATCCATTCATCAGCTATCAAACCAGCCATCCATCTATATATCAGCCAGCCATCAGTTCAGACATCCAACCAGCCAGCTATCCATTCAGTCATTCCATAACTTTTTGTTTAAGATAAATGCTCTCTATTTTCAGGAGCAGCTTTAGCTGCAGAGGGCCGCTCGCTCCTTATGAACTAACATAACATAATAACCAAAATAAACTATTTTTGGGGTAATATTTTGGATGCGAACTCCGCAACATAAATTGCATTATGATAATTCTGGTTAAATTTTAAGCAACTTTTGTTGTCTTCACGTTTTGTCTAATCTTGATCCAATTTGAGAAAAACGCCTTTTAAGTTTCCAATGTTATTTGTTTTGTCCGGTTGATTGAAATCAGCAGTGCTGGCTGAAAAAAATAGCCTTGAGTCAACAGAAAATTAACTTTGGTCAAGGATACTCAAAATCTAAACCTCACTCAAATTTTGACGCTCTTTGTCCGACAACTCCTCTGCCCCGATTGACACCTCTCCTTTCCACTGGAATATCTCAGCTAGCTCACCAACCTCACCCACAAGCGCACACAAGATATTCCTGGAGACACATTGAAACTAGTTTCACATTATGAAATTTAAAACATCCATGTATAAAAACGACAATGGAAATAACCAACAAGCTGAAAGATTCTTGATTATTTTGTTCCTCGAACCTTGAAAAAAGTTCTTTGACACTTTTCATTTTTCCGAAAAAAAATCGAGGAACAAAACGATCAAGAATCTTTCAAGGTTCACACTTTTTTGATACAACTTACTGAATTTGAGAAAAATGGACATGGTACATTTTTGATTCTTCTACTGTTTACAACCTTTTTTTTTCATATCATTTTTATTACTGGTTGACTTATTTATGTTAGTATATGATGAAGTGACGTTAGAAGATGGGAAAATAAACACAAGGGCGAAGCCGAGCTTCGCTCCGCTTACGGTACAAAAGTATGAGCCAGAGACCAAAACTACAGCGTAAAAAAATCACAGTAAACAGCAATATTTTTCATAAAATTCAAAACAAAGTAGGTACGATCTAACCATTCTTTAACCCTTATATTTTTTATATAAGCTCACTTGACAAACTCAAACCAAGAAAAGAAACAGGAACATTCAGATGTGAACATGGAAAATTGGAATACGTTCGTACGCCGTAGTACTGGCATATATACTTTTTTCAAATTAATGGTCACAAAAAATGCAAGGAAACAAAAACAATTAGTAGCTCCCGCAGAAAAAATGCTTCTAAAGTTGTCTTCTATAACTTTTTAATCTCCAAAAAAAATGCAGCAAAAAATCTTGGAATGCAATTACTTGAACAAAACCAAAAGACATTGAAAAGATTTTTCAGTACACTAAAAAAAATGCTTAAATCCCGAGCTGTGGGAACTAAGCCGACAAAAAATGAGCAGACAGCTAAAATCCGACAAAATTTTGTCACGCGGAAAACTTTCTGTTTATCAAAAACAGGTCCTGGCCAGACTCGAATCAGGGAACTTTGTTTTCACAGGCATGTGGGTAATCTCTCCATCACATGTGCGGATTGGAGCCTTGATTTTATATGAACCGTGTCAAATGTTTCAAGTGATTTACTTTAACTAGTTGTTAACCTAAAAAAATGTTATTTTCCCATATGAAAACGTTTTTTATTGCTAGCGTAAATACATTATCACATTTTGAAATTGAAATTCATTTAAGTTTATTGGCTTCAATTGAAAATATTATTTTGCAAACATAATATTATCACATTTTAAAAACCGTGCGGCACTACCTGGGAGTGTGGTACTTTGTCCAATCTCTCTCTTTTACAAACTCATCTTGGAGGCCCCTCAGTCTATCCAGATCGAGACAAGAAAAAGTGTTCCTGGGTAGCTCTCCTACTTTCGAACTCTCAGTCTTTACTGTCTTCGAGTCCGTCATGCAGCACCGAATCTGGATTCTTCGGGAGATAAATAATTGCGGAGAACGGTAAAAAGCTTTATACATCTGTCATCATCAAAAACTGAAATATACTAGCATATCCACTCTGTATAAATCAACGACTGAGAGAGAGAGGGGGGAGAGAGAGGCGAGAGGGATGTCGGATTCTCAGACTTTTTGGACGAAAACAGTCTTGATCAATGATATGAAGTTTTTTAGATTTATTTGGACGTGCTAGATGTTTAGATATCAGCTGAGTGTTTCGAGTCTCATCAACTTTTATTGACAGTTAGCTCGATCTTCCTCTATAGCTCCCTTCAAGGGTTTTTAAATAGTTTTTCATATACGGAATGTCATCAGAACGCAACTGCATCGGATCAACGTCTGCTTGCAAATGTGACCACTGCAAAAGTAAAGTGAAACACGATGATACTACAGCTATTGGGTATGAGAAATGTGGAAATTGGTTTCATGGAGCGTGTGTTTCTCTATCAGCTGACGAAGCATCGTGGATGGGTAAAATCAAAACTTGCCTTTGGATTTGTGACGACTGCCTGGAAGTGGATATCTTCAAATACGAAGCTTAGTTTTGTACCATGTTTAACGAGGCAACCGATTTGAGTAATAACATTAAGTCTACAGTTTTATCTATTGTTGAATGTGAAATACCGCGTATTATTGAAAAATCCTTACCTGAACAAATAAACGAAAATGTAGTTAAGGCATTCAGTGACCGTCTACCTTCCTATCGAGATGTATGAACTAATGGTACTGGCAAAACCTGCAGACATACGAAAAAATGTGAATCAATTTGTGATCAACGGTGTGCCTGAGTTGGGTAACACCTTCAATGCTCGCGTCGAATCTGATGCCATAATTCTTGCGGGAATAATGCAGCATATGGGGCCTTAAATCTGAAAATGACATTACTTCAGCTCGAAGACTTATGAAATCTCAAACAACCAATAATGAACGTCGCACGTGTCGCCCATTATTGATTGCAACGAATAACGCTCACTTCATGAATCGTTGTTTCGCCAGGAGCAATAATAAGAGGGACTTCCGCTTTCCTATTTACGTCAAGAAGTTTCTTTCGAGCTCCGACAGGGAAATCGAGAAGAAAGTTCTTGCCGAAAAATACGAAATGATGTAACATTCGCCCAAATATCACACAGCGACGGAGCGTAGAAAAAGTACATATTAACGACTGGCAGGCGTCAGTTACCTTAATTCTACTCGTTTTTCACCGTCTCGACCTTGCCAGTTGATTTTCTGGTCTGTCTAGGGCAAAGTAAAAAGTTACCATTTTTAGGCCATCAGTCAAACGACTTTTGATCAGCTTTCGTTTACATGCGAACACAACCACATAGCTGAGTCTCGGATCCTCAGACTACGTGATTGTCATTAAAAACACGGCTCGAACAACCTATTTTAACATGTTTTTGTGTGACAGTTCTATATTAAATCCATTAGAGATGGATTGACCCTTTCCTTTTTCTAGCTACTCATGCTCTGAAATATTAAATAATAACGGTGTTAATTAAGATCTATGACATTATAGCAGCTATACAGTCAGTCTATACAGTCCCTTCACATAGACAGTCTCTGGGGGACCAAGCCTCCGCTCCCGTAATATTCTTGAGATAACACTCTTATCTCTTATATTTCGTGTCCCGGGAGGGTTCCGTGGTATATTTCTTCCCCCACTGAAGCCTCCTTCTCCACAAATATCCGTTGCGAAGGTTCTTATCGTGTGTTATTGCCACGATAAGAGGCTTCGTAATTTTCTTGTCTCTGGTACGACTGTTCTTCACAATATCTGTCGTTGTTCTGTTTTCCCGTCTTTTTTAGTCAAAATGGCCATCTTTTTCTATTTCTCAGAAATGTTCAATCTTCAATCGAAATTTTAAAAATAAAAATTCTAGAACATTCTGACCCTCCTTCGCAACACTTTTTTGTTCATAAGGCCTTTAGTCGTTCTTTTTTACGTCGCCGGAAGGTTGTGCTGTGTCATCTGGCAGAATGGCACATACTCCCCGGACAAGTCTCCATCAATGTCCCTATTGATCGCATAACACCGGGTTATCGTCAAGTAGTTATCCAGTTTTCTGTAATCAATCTTACAAATTGCACAAGAAAATGAAATTTATCTACTCCACCTCAACTCACTACGTGTTCACAAATGGCATCGTACTACATCTCACTGCCTTTCAACATTTTCACAAAATTTGCACCATGAGGAGTGTCCTAGATAAAATTTCTTTTCTGACTACTTACGTCGTCTTGCCATAAAACTTCTTTTTGCTCTTTTGTGATTAAAAAGTGGGACGTGGCACGGCCACGCACCCGTTAAAATTAACTTAACTTCACTCACCAAGTATAATCAGTCATTTATGCGGTCCTTTCAATATTAAAACTAAGAAACTCTGTGGCTAGGAAAGTTACTGAGTTACCCACCCTTCTCGAGCGAGTTTACTCAAACTTACCATGTCGCCACACAGTGAATTTGTGTCTTACACAGGTTAAAAACTTCAGTCGTGAATAAATAGGTAAATATACTCACCTATGCTCCTTATATACATACATAGATAGTAGTAACTAAAATCAACAATTTCAACAATTTTAACAACTGCAACATTATAGTTTGGTCTGACCAAACTAAATCAAAACAAAAAGTTTCACAAGTTCAATAATCAAAACTTGGTTGATTGGTTTAAGTTTTAGCACACAAATACATTCAAGTTTTCTCTCCTTCTCTCATCTTCTTTGGTCGTCTTCATTCCATCACTTCTCCATCTTGATCTTCGCTGTCTTCCAACACTTTCTCCAGCATGTCCATGGAGTTGCGGGCCGTGCCCCAACCCTCCTGTTCCAACAGCCTCGGTTTGCAGCAAGGTAGCAAGTCCACATTCACCTTCTGCTCCCGGTTCCTGCAAAAGCTGTTGTGAAGACATAGGCTCACGTTTCGTTCTAGGTCAGCTCTTAAGACCTCTTTCTTCTCATCTTCAGTAACACAAGGCGCTCCAGCTACCCGCTTCACCGCTGTGGTGACCGCGTTTCTGTGCGTCAGGAATGCTCGTTTATAGGCTCCTGGTTCTATATCTAGCTGGAAAGATTGATAGGCTTCCGTGTTCCTTGACATGTGACGCTTCGCGCGTTCATACATCCAAGATGTCATCACTGCACGAAACCAAGGCATCAATCTTTGCCTTGACCATATTCTTTCAATGGCTTTAGGTATCCTCAGAACCTTGCAGGTGGTTCTGAAAAGATCCAATTCACGACTCATTTTTACGTTGCTCAGCTGTTCAGGAGTCGGCACGGCCGTCTCCTGCTGACTTGTGTCCGCGTTAGCCTCCAACCATCTCACTGCTAGCATGGCGCTAACCACCACGATTGACACTTGTTGATTCTGATCGGGCAACCCCGTGGAGTACAACTCCTCCACGTCCCATACTAGGATCAGATTCCCGCGTTTGGGGTACCACAACGTCTGCGCCAAGCAGTGGCAAGTATACTCCCCATGGGTCCTCACTATGTTCCTTCGGGTCCGATACCCTGAGGCTCCCAGCAACGGTTCCATTTCCATCAGGATTCTATGTAAATCGTCTTTCTCTTCTATGGTGGGGAATTCAGTGGGTAAGGCTCCACTTGCTTTCTGTTTCTCGAACTCACTCACATTGCCTTCGTTCAGTCTCACGAACTCTTCACCCACAACGTCTTGCAACTCGCCTTCGGATCTCTTCGGGACTGCCCGAAAGATCTTTGCCAACAAGTCATATGACCTTTCCGACATTCTGGCCAACCTCACGCACTTTGGCACAGAGAAAAGTTGGTCAACCAATACTTGTTGCGTCCTAGCATCCATTACCACCATGTGCGTAGGATACTTGCTATTACAGTATGGCGCGGAGCTTGAACCCACCATATATTTTGAACCAGTAGGTCTGTGATAGGCTTCACTATCCTTCAGATTCATTTCATTTTCTAGAGCTTCTCGCCAGCCCCCAATCTTCTGCTCTGTCTGTAATGCTCCAGGGAATATTTCCACGCTGAGGGACGTCACTAGCTCATGGGCACGCTCCAGGCGCTCGAGTGATTCTATCGAACTCGTCATGCTACAAAATCCCAAGGCTGTGATCAGGTTTACGTCCGTCACCCCATGGCAGTCTGCAACCAACTCCATGGCACTCTTATCCGACATGCTCAATCTTCCGTACAATCGTGCCAGTTGTCGATGCTGCTCGCTCAGCGTAATCAGGCAGTGTCCCAAATTGCAAACATGCCCTTCCATCCTACTTTGTTGAGCCAAGCATGTGCCTTGCTTCAACCAATCGCTCGATGGACTTTCCTCAGGCAGCTCCGTGGATGGATTGCTCTTCCGCTTCGTCGACTTCATGGCCAGCAGATGGTGTATCATGGCCAGATCATGTAAACTCGCATCATCATCTAGGTCTAACGTAATATCCGCCGTCATGTCCCAGATTAAACCGACATTAGGATGAGGGCACCAAGAAGGCTTCATGAGTTCCCACATCGTCACTAGACTGGTTTTCAAGGGACCGTCCCAAGAACCACAATCAAAACTCACTTGCCCCTTTAGCTCGGGAACCGAGGGTTCGACCACTCGTTCTTCCAAAATAATTCCCAGCTTGGGTTGTTCCACCATCAGCATCCCAGTTTCTTTAATACGTTCGACCCAGAAATTGAGTACCATGACTTGCTCATAGTCGAAGTACGCTTCCCTGGCTTCTTCATTCACGAAGGGATTATACGCCATCCCCGGTATGCCAGACACATATTGGAACGACTTCAGTTTCCCTAGTGTTGCAAACTCTTTTTGTCCTCTGACCGCTTCAATCAACTCTCGGCTCACTTTCAATTCTTTGTTGGAATATCTTCTCACCTCTTCCAACTTGCGATAGCTTTCCATATCACTCGACTCCTTGCTTGGCACAGTCAATGGCATGTCCTGATATAGTTCCAGGAGTGCCCTAAGGAAGTTCCTTTCACAATCAACTCCCTCCTGCCGAATGATCTTTATGCATTCTCCCAAAACAGGAGTGGGGATACGATCCACCACGAACCTGACAAAGCAAAGGGCATCCTTACGCTTAGCCCATGCTATCGCAGAATCGTCTTTCGAAGTCAACGCTCGCAGAGCTTCCATCAACTCCAGTTCCTGTTCCCGTGATTTCGAATCATTGCTGGCTTCATATTCCGCTCTCTTGATGCCCATCAAGCACCAAGCCAACCGTACTTGCAGATCAGTTCTCACGCAAGAATGAGCCAGGTATGCCGCCACCGTAGCAGGTGCATGCATCGCCTCGTCGAAGTATCTCTGGAGGGCCGCCCTCCAGGAGATTTCTAGCAGTTTCTCCAATCCGACTTCGTTCGCTTCAGAAGACATTACCGTTCCGTATTCTTTTCGATTCAAGTTCGAATTCTCCGTGAGCTCTTTCAGATATTCCTGCATGACTCGCTTCTCGCTCCAAGCCATCAGGTGCCCTCTCGCGGAGTTCCTCGCTTTCAATATCTCCACATAACCCCCTGCCGGATCTCCCATGTGGACCGATTCCGGCACAGTTATTCGACTGTACTCGACCACGTCGAGTTGTCCTTCCAGTTTCAACTTGGCCATGTTGATTCGCGAGGGTCTATAATCTTCAAGTCCTCCAGATCCACATTGACTGAGGATTTCCATTTCTAACTTAGTGTCTGCCAGGGTTCGCGCCGTCTTCTTCGATCTCGTGGCGGTTATGGTCAGACCTGCCAAGAGCATAGGGGGTATCAGGTTTTTTTTTTCTCCCCCGGCTGGTGTCGCACCATCTCCTTGCCCGCTCTCGCCTGAACGAACCGCACTAATCAGAGAGGTCACCACTGCCTTAGCTTTTGACTTCACCACCCTCCGGTTCACGACTCGACTCCCTGA